CAACCATTGTCATCATCATCATAGTCACCATGCCTCTTTTCTGTTGTCAATTCTAGTAACTACCATAGACAATGATCTCATTACTTCCAAGTCTGACATCCCCATCATCACCAATGACTGTCACCAACTCTTCATAACAACATCCCAAATTTCATCTCACCATCCCATCATCCCAACCCTATTCTCATGCTGACCTACATCCCAGTAACTAAGCCCATGTGATACCTCCATAGTTACCACTGTCACCCCCACTGTCACCTGAATTACTCCCCTCCTATACCAGCACCATACACTCCCCCAGGCCTGGTTTTTCACTTCAACTTTTCCAGTTCCAAACTAAGATCTGGGTCAAGGGTAAAAGACAGTCCACAGGTGTTGCAGATCTGGGTTGGAAGTAAGCTGGGGATCTGATAGGGGCGCCTAAGGGCCCAGCTTATGTAGAAATACTCTGGCTAGGAATCCAGGGGGGTCTGGGGAGAAGACAGGGGCAGTCAGAAGGTCTGGCTGAGGCAGGGGAACAGCAGGCAGAGAGCCTGCCTGGAATAGGGCAGGGGCAGGTAGAGGGTCTGGCTGGGATGGGGGGTCAGGCAGGGGAGGGCGGTATCTGTCCCAGTCCTGTCTCCTGTTCTGACACCTCATTCATCACAGGCCGTAAGGAAGCCATTAGAGTTGGGGAAGTGCGGTGGAGGCTGCAGCTGCACAAGGGTCTGGCCCGGCCTGTCTCCCCTTCCCCCTGCTGCATGTTCTGGGAGCCAGAAAGATGATTGGAAGAGCTGCTGGACAGGTCTCTTGGTCCTTCAGGTAACGGACATTAACTTACACGTTCACAGGTGCATATATGTCATGCATATATGTGCACAAATAGCACACTGTACATACATGTGCACAGGCATGTACATGCCATGTATACAGTGCATACATGTGGACATCCCCACCAATGTTCATGTGCCTCTGGCACACATCCACTTACACTCCCACTGGAATACACAGCCGGTTCCCCCACCAACCACCACACGTACCAATGGTGAACTCATCAAAGGTGATAGCTGTGGCATTGTGGCCCAGGGCATTGCTGACACTTATGGAGACCTTGTACTTGATGGTGGAGAACAGGTGCATGTAGCGAATGTGACAGCGGTTCTTGAGGGCTGGGTCTTTCTCACAGACCATAATTTTGGAGCCGTGCCTAGGGAGAGGTGAGGCCCAGGTACTGTTACCAACATCAAGAGTCAGGTGGGGCAGAGGTTGAGGGAAGGTCAAGCCCAAGACAGGGCTGGGGTATGGACTGAGGGCATGGTGGTGGGATGGGGGAGAGATTAGAGGTCAGGGCTGGACCAGGGTTACATGCGCAGCTACTCACAGCACAGTCACATTGAAGGTGTTGGGAATGTAGGTGGGGGTGGGCAGATGCCAGTTGCAGTAGAAGCCCTTGGGGTAAGTGTTGGAGCGGCAGCTGAGCACGGGCTCCCGTGGCGGCACTGGGGGTGAGGACAGCATGGTCAGAGCATTCTTGGAGCTACCAGTCCCCTTCACTAGTGTGGGGACAGGTGGGCCCCAGAGCCCCAGCTCTCCCCCCTCAACCAATCATTGATGCCAAAGTTGTTGGGGGGAGGCTGTCAGCGAGGGTCTGAGGCTTCCCAGGCCACAGAGAGCCAGATGTTTAATTAAAGAAAAACAAGGGCTGTGCGGACAGGGAACCACCCCCCCTCCACCTGCTCAATGGAGGCAGAAACCATGGGGAGCAGGGGGCTGTGGGCCTCAACTCATCAATCACAGGATGGAAGTGATGTCTGGGGGAATTGGCCCCAGCCCCACGTCTCCTGCCACTTTGTGTCCACTCCCAGAGGAAGACTATGCTACGGAGACGAGGAGTCTTGAATGGGTCCTCTGACTGCTGGAGTGATCGGGTCACTTCCTGGAGAAGAGACACCCCAGACTTCCCTCAGTAGAGATGGAGACACAAGGACAGGCCTGGTGGCTACACAGGAGCAGAACTGAGTGGCTGCTCGTGTGCATATCTGTGTTTGTAGACGCCTGTGTGCAGACATATGTGCTACATGCATGTCTCTATGTGACATAAATGAATGACCAGGGATCTGTAGGAGCAGCTATTCAGATGTGTGTGAATCTGCGTGTCTGTGTATGAGTGCGTGTGTGTGTTCAAGTGCCTGTTGAAAGCAAGCTGCTGTTCCCTTTGTGTGTACCTCACCCCAGTGCCAGCCCCTAGCATTTCCATCGTACCTTTAAGAAGCCCTTTATGTGGTAAGCAGCTGCTCTCACTCTGGAATAGGAAGGCCCAGAGAGGGATAGGAACCTCTCAAGGTCAGACAGCAAGCTAGAGCTGGGACTAAACCCCAGGATGGGGGCTACACACACACACACACACACACACACACACACACACACACACACTTGGGAAGTCCTTTCTGCTGTCTGACCCGAACTCCTTTTGCTGCCGTGAGCACTTAGCCCAGCTGTCCCACCCTCAGGCATTGGGTAAGGCGTGAGGACAGGCGGCTCAGGTTCCTGGAAGGAGGCAGCTTATGTGATCTGACCCAGGCAAGGAATGTCCGTCTGTGGCTCCAGGGACACTGACATCTCCCTCCTGTGTCTCCCCCCTCCCCCGCCCCCGGCCTGACAGGTGGACAGGAAATGGGAGGGGGGCAGCTCAATAAGCCAGGGACAGTGAAGGGGAGTGCATGTCTATGCTTGCAGAGTGGCCATAGTGACACAGGGGAACAGTGGGCTTCCATCCACAGTGTGCACGTGACTGTGAGTGACTCTGTGTGATTGCATGTTCATGTCCAGTATGTGTGATGCTGGGAGGGGCCCGGGGCAGAACCCCCAGGATCCAGATCTGGCTTTGCAGCAGAAGAGATGAGGGGGCAGAGAGGGCAACAGGAGAGCTCCAGGGCAGCAGGTGGAGGAAGCAATGCTGTGGGCGGGGACAGCTCCATTCCCCAGGCCTGCCAGGGAGAACAGGACCCAACTGAGACCCCACAGGGCCCATCTGCGTTCTGTTCGCCACTGTCAGCCTCCCCTGGGAAGCCTTCCGGGCCCTGTGTCTACCTCGTGTCATTCCATGTTCATCCTGTGTGTCTTTGGTGTCCCTTCCCTGTCTGCCCACGGGTGCAGAACTCTGCCTGGGGGTGGGGTGGGGGGCGGCCAAGGACACAGGAAGTGCCTTCTGGGGGCCTGTTGGCCAGGCTGGAGTTGGCAGCCACCCCAGGAGGAAAGGACATTCCGAGGTCGGCCGAGAAGCCTCCACTCCCCGCTCCTGCCACCGCCCCCCTTACCCCCAGCTTCAAAGGGGAAGGGCGATGGGGGTGGGGTGGGGATCAGAGCCTGCAGAGTCAGCTCCCTGCTGCCTGGGACTCCTTAGAGGGCAGAGCGGGCCACGGCACTGGACTCACAGGCCCCCGCCCCCCACCAGCCTCCCTACTGATCAGGCTCCTCCACTCCCTGACTGTCCTCCCCCCTCAGACCAGCCTCCCCTTCCAACCTCCCCCTCACACCAGTTCCTCTCCCTGACTGGGGAGGTCACGGTGGGGTGGGGGGTGGGGGCCCGACTGGGGGCTTTGTCTGTCATCTGGCTACTCCTGCCTGGCCCTGGGCCCTGAGCAGGGAAGGGCTTGGGTTTCCTGACAGGGACCAGGTTTCTCAGAGGGAAAAGGAGGAAAGAAAAACAAAAGGAAGAAAAGGAGTGACTTGCTGCAGCTGGAGCCCAGCTGAGGGGCTGGGTGGGCGGAGGTGGGGGTGCTGTGAGATTGTGGGACAGTGTGGGATCGGGATGCCTGTTGTGAGTGTGTTGCGAGTTGGAAGAAAAGCTGTTTTTAAGACGCTGTGATTGCGAGGCTGTGTGTAACTGTGAGAGGCTGTGTGTGTGTGACTGTGAGACTCTGGGCAGTTGTGTAACTATGATGGGAGGCTGTGTTGGACTGGATGACTGTGTTTGCACGTGACTCAGGGTGAGGCTGCTCAATTTCAAGACTGTCTCTATGTGCAAGGCTGTGTTGCTAAGGCACTCTATAAGAGTGCCTGTAAATGTGCCATTGTGTCTGAATGCAGTGACAGCTAGACCTCATATATGAGGTATAGTGCATATGTGATGAAGCCTAGTGAGACTGAATGTATTTTGCAAACTATGTGTGTGGGAGGGTGCCCGGAATTCCCAGCATGTTCACATGTATGAACTGAACACCGTGTGAGTGCATGTTAAAGACAGTGAGTGAGCAAAAGCTCCTGTGCACATAGGTCATGTATGAACTGAACACCGTGTGAGTGCATGTTAAAGACAGTGAGTGAGCAAAAGCTCCTGTGCACATAGGTCACAGTATCAGGCTCCGGACACACAGGCATCTGGGTTGCCCCCTGTGGGGGCTCCTGAGACACCCAAGTGACTGTGTGTCAGCCTGTGACAGAGTGTCCCTGGGTCCCACTCGGGACCGTGTGTGCGTGTGCATGCGTGCGTGTGCCCCCGCTGGCCCAGGGTTTGTTTGTTTTCCTCCTAATTGGCTTGTTTTTCCATGTCCAGCCCACCAAACCGCATGTTTTTCCTCTCATCTCGCCAGCCCGCCTGGGCTGGAGCCCCCGGCACGAATGAGGCCTGCCCGCCGGCCCAGAGAGGAGGAGGAGGGGCAAGCTGCCCACACCCTAGGCCAGGCCAGATCAGGCAGGGTGGGGCAGGGTGACCCTTCCACTGCAGCCCTACCCACGCCCCACCCGCACACCGCCTCCTGCCTGGCATTCAAGGCCCAGGCCTGGCTCAACCTTACCTCGTGGCATCCCTTGAGGCATTCCAACTTCTGGACTCCCAAATGCCTCCCCCGCCCCTCCCACTTGTAATTTCTCCCCAGGCGTCTTCTTTGACCATAGCCTTCTCCCCACTCTTTCCTTTCCAGCCAAACAGGGCTGCGGGGAAAGGAGTGCTGAACCAGGGGATCCAGAGTTTCCATCCTCACCAATCAAGTAAGAGTTTTTAAAAACTGGACAAGGAACTGTCCATTTAAAAATCATTTTAATCTCTAGTTTGTTTTAGCTTAAAATCAGAACAATACAGAATCAGCAGTGTCTTGTAAATAAAAAGATGCTACTAAAAGGAGCACTGTGATCCTGCTTCCTAATGTGGGGGTGGGGGGGGTCCTTTCATCATCCTAAGGAGGAAAGGGGTCCTTAGGGCTCTGCTCGTGAGGATCCACTTGAGAACAAGAAGGTGGATCAAGAGAAAGCAGTTTGGAGATTAGCCTGGGTAAGGAGATTTCCAACAGAATACTGTTAAGACCAAGTTCCCTTGGAAATAGAAACATAAAAATTGTACATGTTTAGGATAAATACTAAGTAATTTTTGGTTTGAATGACCCACAAATCAGGGGTAACTCTGTCTGTTGCCTGAGAGCTGGCAGAAGTATAATTTGATATTGAGTGTTGGCAAAGCCAGTCTCTTGTTACTAATATAAAGTGACTGAGACAATAATGATTAATATCCCCTGTTCCTCTGACCAGGTCTTTAGGAGGAAATAATGCAATGAGAGATAAGTACCTGAAACTAATGCTACAGCCAACTCATGGTCAGCCTTCCTCTGGCAGTAGGGCCTGGAGGGCAGTGAGCACTCTATATAAAAGGTCTGGGCCCTGGTCACAACAGGGCAGCTGTGGGCATGTCCTGTCAGTATAGACTATGGGCATTACTTCAAGACCCAATTCTCCTCCAACGACCTCTCAAAGAAGATCACATCATTAGGAATGGGAGCCCAGGGTCACCAAAGCCTAGCCATCACAGCCAGAACCCAACCATCACAGCCAGCCTTGTCCCTCCTGAGGACTTCTGCGACCCAAACTGAGAAGGCGGGGATGTGGGTGACTGGTGCCAAGTTGGGTTCATCCATTTTCCATGGCACTCAGTAAATGGCCCTTTTCCCTCTGTAAGGGCCTGACCTAGGCTGAGTGCTCCACTTCTGATGGACTCCAGAGTGGACCAAGCCTTCAGCCTAACATTTTACATGGTGATGTATGCCAGTCTTCTGACAACGAGGTAAGTTGTGCTCCCAGATCTCTTAAACATCTCCTAGGTAGCTTCTAGGGAATAAGGAGATCATTTTTGGGCAGTGGGGTAAACCGTACCCAAATAAAATGAGGCCAGAGGAGCTTGACTCACTGGCTCAGGAGAAAAGAAATAAAGAAATGGAACTATGTTCAGAGTATTCACTCTGTTGGTGGGTACCTCCGGCTGGGATCTCGATGCTTGCCCACCTCACTCTCACCTTCAGCAACGGTGATGTCCTCATCATTCTGACTTCTCCAGATCCCTCTTCCAAATCACACTCACCTCGTTTTCCCTCTACTTTCCTGCTGGCTCCTTCTTATTTCTTTTTGTGGCTCATTTCTCTCCATCGACCTCTTTACATGCTGATGGTCTTTAGGGCTCAATTCTGGGTCCTCTTCTCTCTTCACTCCATGATCTCTCCCTTGGCCATCTCACCCCTTCCCATGGCTTTAATGCTGACAACCCCCCAAATATCCATCTCTAGCAGAGGCCTCTCCCCAAATCCCAGACACTCAGACCCACTGGTTACCAGTCATCAACTCACAGTTGTCCTCCAAGGATCCCACCGAACAGGTCTGCAGCAGATGTCTAGGGTGCCACGGATCCCCTGCCCATACTATTAACACTTCTAATTCCCAAATTCTACAGTTATTCACCTAAGAGCTTTCTTTTGCTTTGCCTGCTGGGCCATGAGGGCAAAAGTGCTGGAGAATCAAAGCTCCTCCCTCCCACCCCAGGTGAATTTCTCAACCACTGATAGGCAGGTGCGTATATACATCCCAGCTCCCTCACCCTCAGGCAGGGCAACTCAGGTGTGTGTTCTACATCTGCACCCTCAGTGGTAACGTCAGTTGCTAAGAGGCAATATCTGGATAACTCTTTTTTTTTTTTTTTTTGAGACAGAGTCTTTCTCTGTTGCCCAGGCTGGCATGCAGCAGTGGCACAATCTTGGCTCACTACAACCTCCGCCTCCTGGGTTCAAGCAATTCTCCCACCTCAGCCTCCCCAGTAGCTGGGATTATAGGCACCTGCCATCAGGACTGGCTAATTTTTGTATTTTTGTAGAGAGAGGGTTTCACCATGTTGGCCAGGCTGGTCTTGAACTCCTGACCACAGGTGATCTGTCAGCTTCAGCCTCCCAAAATGCTAGGATTATAGGCGTGAGCCACCATGCCTGGCCAACTCCCTCTTTATTGACTAACTTAACTTCCTTTTTCTGTGTCACTTTCCCATCCCTTTATGATATTCCCCTTACCTGCCAAGTAAACTACTTGCCTAAGAATTCCCACCTTGGGATCTGATCCTAGGGAAACGTAAACTAAGACACTGTTAAAACAGCACTCATTATCTTTGCCTTCCATTTTCTTCCTGTTGCAGTCATGGATCCCTCCAGCTGTCTTGACTCCTCCCACCCTCTACTCTCCTGTCCTTTCCACCTCCAATCTGTCACCAATTCCTGGAGGTCCAACTACCCCTTCTCAGCTTCCTCAACTCCATGCCCTGGTCCCAGGTCCTTATCCTCTCTCCTGTATCCAGTAACGGCCTGTTTCCTACCTTGGTTTTTCTCCATCCAACCTGCCTCTCTTCACTCAGAGTGATCTTTTAAGAACATGACCCAGAAACTGTCACTGCACAGCTTCCAGAATCATGATCTGCCTCCTGTCCCCTCCTTCAGCTCCCTCTCCACATCTACACCAGCCCAAGTGGCCTTTACATGCCCTTTTGGCCACTGAGGCCTACGGTAACAACGAGTTCTCTGCCAGAAATGATGTTTCAATGCGTCTTCTAAATTCTCCAAGTCTCCATTTGCTTCCCACTCCAGGAAGCCTTCCTCCTTCCCTGGAGCCTCCTGGAGTGCCTCACCTATACCTGTATAACCACATATCCCACTTCCCTCTTTAAGGCCCTCTGACCAGCCCTGCTGGGAGCAGACACAGTGAGGCTCCTCCAGCTCAGACCCACAACCTAAGGGTCTTTCCCCACTCATGTCCTGGATGAGCCATGCCTTACTAGCCCTCTGCCCACATTGTCAGAGAGGATAGGATTTTAGGATAACCAAGACCTCCAAGGGGGTAGGATCCATGGGCAAAGTGTCTAGGGGTCTGAACTCAGTGGGCAAGACTGGGCTCAGAGGCGAGAAGAGCAGGCCAGGACAGATCAGAGGGCAAGGGTCAGGCTGTAGCTCTCCCCTCTCTGTGTCCCCCTAACAGGAAGGGGACTTGATCTGGGCTAGGAGTCTGGGTCTCAAGGAAGGAGGGAGGCTGGATGAGGGGTGAGGGCAACACTTACAGCCCACATGCAGCAGGACTTGGTGGCGCAGGTGCCAGGAGTCACGGTGGAAGCAGGCGTAGAGGCCACTGTGGCCCAGTTCCAGGCCACGGAGCACCAGCTCAGAGCCGTTGAGCAGGTCAGGAGCCAGGTCTGTCCCATTGACCCGCCATGTCACCGCTGCATCCCAGTTTGCTGTCCCACATGGCAGGGTCACATCGGAGCCCAGGCGCTCATACTGCACGTGGGGTGCCTCTGTGGGGGGCAGGGGCACAGGACAAAAGCCATAAGTCACAGCCCAGCCCAGCACCCTCAGGTGAACGTGCTCAGACAAGAACCTGTGAGGATGCATGAGAGGCTTGGTGTCTGACTGTGTGAGTGTCTTGGGGAGATGGAGAGTGTTCAAAGCTCCTCTGTGCCTGCGCAAGTGTGTGGGTATATGAGTGTCTCCAAATGTGTATGTGAACGTGCATGTCCAGGGCTATGAGTGTGAATGAGCCATCTTCTGTGTGTGTTTGCATGTGAGAGAGAGTTTGTACAGTGCTGAGAGGGGTCAGTTCTCAGTGAAAACCAGGTTCCTCTCCAGTCCCTGGATGCTTTAAAGTTTCCTGACCCCCATGATCTCTTGCCACCTACAGGCCCAGCCCAGTCACTGACATCCATTACCCAGGCAAGCTGGCACTGACGAGCCACACTCCTGGACTCCTTTTTCTGTATCCTTGTTTCTCTTCCCCACGCCATCCTCGTCTCTTTCTATCCTGTCTCTATCCCTACCTCCCCCATCTCTCTTCCTGTCTTTCTCCCTCTCCTCTGCCTGCCCAGCCCCCCACCCCACAACAACCCACCCCTCAGCCATCCAGCACTCTGGACAACAGCAGGAGAAGGGAGAATGGGCAGCAGAGAACCCTAGGGAACTCCTGGCAGCTGTCAAATTCACAAGGCGGGAACTACTTAGGGCAGGTTGGGGGCTAGGGGGTTGTGGTGCTGCTGGGATGGAGTGAGCACTCTGACCATTCCTCTGCTGCCCCCAGGAGGGGCCTGTCAGAGCCAAAAGCAAACCCCAGCCTTGGCCTCAGCAACCCAGGCGTGATGGAAGGAGCCCAAGAGACTGGAGATGGAAGGGTGGAGGCGAGCACCTGTTGAGAGGCAGCGCGAAGTGGGGGAAGCAAGTGGGGCAGAGACAGATTTAAGATGCAGCCACACAGGGACAGGGAGATGGAACTCTCAGGACACCCCCTTCTCATCCTGCCCCCTTGAGCGGGAGGGACACATGCTTCCCAGGTCTTGGCCAGATCTGTGGAGTGAGGATGGGAGAGGAGAAGGGAAGGGGAGGGGCAGCAGTTTGGGGGGGGCTGCGGGATCCCTCGTTAACACTCCTTACATCTCCCCTCCAGAGAGCCACCCTGCTGAGTTGGGGGATTTTCAGAGGCAATTCCTGTTAACGAGCCAATTAAGTTGGGCCAGTGGCCTCTTAATTAGACTTGTTAACACCATCAAGGCTGCAGGGGAGGTAGGGATCCCCCTTGGGTCCACTGGCCACCCTTTCCTCCCATTGGAGCCCCCTCCTCAGCACTGCTTTGCTCTGCGCTGAAACATCTGCCCTGGTTTGCTGCCTCTGTTGTCCTTGCTGTGCCCGGGTCTCTCTGTGACTCTGGGTCTCTCCCTTGCTGCCTGTCTCTGTCCTGCCCCTCTCTGAGCCTCTCTGTCCCTTTCAGAGGAGAAGAAAGCAGGAAACCCAGCCAACCCTGACCACTCGTCTGTGGGGCCTGGGACCAGCCGAACAGAGGATGAACAGGCGGAAGGGCGGTGGCTGGGGGCCTTGGAGGCCACAGCTGTGAGGCTGGACCAGACACTGAATGGGGGCCTCCCCCTGACCAGAGGCCCAGTGTCCAAGACTCAGGCCACTGAGCCCCCCCAACAATCCACTAGCTCCAGCCACTGAGCCCCTCTTCCAGCCTCCCTTCCAAAAACCTGGAGCTTCCAGGAAACATGCCAAGCTTCTCTCTCTGCACCCCCTAGCAGAGACTTTGCATCCAGCTGCCTGAGGAGGAGGCTGAAAACTGACCTTTGGGGAGGGGGCGTGGCTACCCTGGTCCCAGAAGCAACACAGTCACACTGACCAGACAGCTCAATGCTGACTCAACCTAGTGTGGCCCTTAATCCTGGGGAGCAGGTACAGCCACCACACAAGGACACAGCAACCCAACAACGCATCAAATACAACAGCTATAACACCTCCCCACCACACCTTGTCTGCTGCACAAGAAAAGTAGAAATACAACCTGACAATAACGACAAACCGATCATGTAAGGGCAGGGCAGGACGAAAAATGACAACACAATGGCAGAAGATGACAGGCCACAATGGAGAGGCAGAGGGGCAACAGGAGGTGACAAGCACACAGTATCACAACTGCTACAATAACACAACAAAGGCAATACACATGGCCATGCAACTGCTCCAAAGATGGCAGTGATTTAATCTTTTGTCTCTGGACAGCTCTGCTCCCGCCCCGTGGGTGCCCCTACTGATGTGCTGTCCATTTCAGAAATTAAATCAAGCAGCAGGGGGAGGATGGGGTTCTTGGCCCTGACACGGTGACAAATGCTCCAAAGGAATCAGCTGTGAAAAGGTTGTTAGAAGCCAGGATGAGAGACAGAGACAGGATGAGGTCATAGACATGGAGAACACAGAGGGACAGAGCTGACGGCTCCCTTGCACCTGCACACACAGGCTCACAGGGGAACCACATGCCAGAAACAGTCCCCCTGGGCATCCTAAAGCAACTTCACTTTGCCACACACACAGGAACAAGGACAATCACTCCCAAAGAAGAAGGACATGCAGGACAGTCACCCACAAGGCCACAGTCACACACAAGTTCACAGTCACACAGGGACACTCGCTCACTTCAGGGATGGTAACATCTGACACAAAATCACAGGTACACGTACAAGATAGGCACCATCACCTGGAGGCACAGTTATGCCCAGGAACACAGGGAAACAGTTTAATACAAACTCACAAAGAGAAACAGAGATATGATTACACAGAAGATACAGTCTCAAACTCGAGAATACAGCCGCACAGGGGGCACACAGACAGGCAATGTGACATAGATAGACAGTGTCATACATGAGGCACAGCCTACAAAGATACAGCCACACAGAGAAATGCACTCAAACAGGGACACACGCTGTCACTCTCACAAGAACACAGTCTCACAATCTCAGAGAGGTGGTCTTATGTCCAGGATCACAGTGGCACAAGGTAGAGACCACTGGCAGGCCCTAGGGAGGCCCAGTCAACGTCCCTGGAGCTGGCCAGGATCTCTCTGGGTCTCACTGTTGATCTCATAAAGAAGAGTCCATAGAAACCTCAACTCACTACCCACAGCCTTGAGGGTGGCAGAGCCCAGACACCAGGGTCTGCTCCATGCCTGGTCCCTGGAGAGGCCCTCACCCTCTCTGCTTTCACCCAACCCAACTGACATGAAGTAGGAGGCAGGAATCATGCAGGCAGGGAGCTCAGGGAACCCGTTCCAGGTGAGTTTTTAGTCCAGATCCTGGACTGATGTTGCTGTTTGAGGTGCTGCCCCAAGTGCAGTAGAGGGGCAGGAGGTCAAGTTAAGAGGGCTGTTGTATCTCCCTGGAGGGACATGGCTCCTTGTCCTGTGGGCTGTGGCAGG